TGGGTTTTCAGAAAATACGAAACTGTATCTCACCTTGGCACGTAACTTCAAAGTGCATTTTTCTCCTCGCTCAGCTAGAGCACCTGCCCTGTTCTTTTCCACACTTATGCTCATGACTGGCATCCATCCCTGCACCCTGCTTCCCACATTCATCTTTCTAAGAGCTGTTTCCTTTGTCTTTATCCCAATGAGGATCAGGTGGCAGCTGTTAATAAATGCAGAGTAAGCCACACGAAAAAAAGAATCCTAACTTTCTGTGTGCAGTGTTGGGTTCTGAATTAGCTACAACTATTCAGGGAAATGAGTTTGCTGTTCTGGTAGTTCTGTGAAAACAAATGTGACCCAAATTAAATTAGTAGATAGCCGGGTCCAAACAAATAGGAGTTGTAAATAAGCTGTGGCACTCGTTGCTGCAGGACTAGAAAAATCAACCAAATCCACAGATGAAAAATCCGTCTGAAGCTGTTAACGAAAAAAATTACCACCTCTAGCTCCAAAATTTGGTGCTAATTGCCAGAGGATAGGAGTATATATGGGAGCGGTATCGCTGTAGAATTTCCCAGGTTTTGTATTCTTCAGTAGGCTCCTGCCACCATGCACTATCAGAGGCTGGCTACTTAGCTCGAGGGACTTTTGATCTGACACAATACAGGCACCCAGAAGTTGTTTGTCCTTTCCTGTTGGTCACTGTTCCTGCTGTCATTCTCTTTATGTTGGTAGTGTTTTCCAAATTTGCTTTCTGCTAAGTCTACAAGACCAAGTCTCCATCCCCTTCGAAGAGGCTCAAGACACCTGCCCATGTACAGATTTCACTTACTGCTACAGAGCGATCAGTATTCACCTGGGAAGCCTGGGCAAATTTCCCCATCACCTGTTTGCGAGGGGAAAACCAGCATGCTTAAGGAAGAAAAATAATCACTACAGTTCCCTAAAGTACAGTATAAGACTCAAAGTCTGGCTGAATATATTGGGATGACTTAGTAGAAGAGTTTTGCTCTTTCATCTCAACGTGTGGGCAACCAGACTCAAGTGCCTTTAAGACCAAAAATACCTAAATACTTGGGAATGTAGTCATTATACATTCACAGAGGAGGAGCCACTGTTTTCCCCCCTTTCCGTCATAGAAAGAGGGAAGCTTGATTTTAAGCTCTATGTCTATACTAGGCTTCTTTCCTTAAAAAAGAGCACTTCTGCTAACTCTAACGAACATTTATACAGTGGTAGCAACTGTGAGAAGGCCGAGTTAGGCTGTTTACAGCCACTGTGTTTTAGCCAGCTTTTCCCAGAGACAGTCAGAGCATAATTAGGGAAGTCAACTTGCTGGTGAAGTATGACGGGACATGGAGACAGTTGCTCCTGCTTCTCTGGCATCTACTGGAGTGATCGGTTGTGTACAGCGTGCAGACTCATGGGCACGTAATTTCTATATTCATAGCCAGAAGCATGAAATCATTTAGGTAATTTAGTATCTTTTCAGTCTTCAATTATGGAAAGAATGAAGGTGGTTCTGATGAAAGGTCTTTAGTGAGAAGGTATTATTTCACTTAGCTTACTTAAAAGAATCACTGTCAGCACCAGCTAAATGCCTTTCTTTACTCTCTTCTCATGAACAAAAATCCAGATCTTGAGAGCCAGAGATGCAAGGTGTGCTATTTCTGCTGACCTGAGAATTATACAAATGGCAAAGTTTGTTGCACTGTTTTGTTTCACTTTCCTCTTTTACTAACTGTTTTTTTCTGTTCCTGCCATATCTTCTAGGAATATTTGTTCTCTGAAGGCAACTCTGATCTAGCTCATAAAGCAAATGATTCACAAACATGCCACAGATGGGCCATTTTAACTATGCTAGAGAAAAAAAATGTATTAAGACTTACAGAAAATATTTAGACAATATTTAGATAAATGAAATGGCTAAATGTTACCAGTTATGTCAAAGTGAACAGCTTGGAGGTTGCAGAGTTTTGCAAGAGTTTGTGCTTAGGCCACCTTAATAATCTCAAACTGGCACTTAACTGCTAAGCACCTATGCAACCCTAGTGTTCTTGCATTTCTTTTGGTAAGACTATATGTAATGCCCTGAGAGAGTGAGCCTTCACAGTGCTGCTGTGTAGCGTACGGAGTTTTCCTTGGCATGAATTTGGAACGGTTACATTATTCATGAGTAGCAAAGCAGTGAAGAAATTATGCTGGGGACTAATTAGGACCCATTTATGTCTGAGTCAACTCTGCATCAGAGAAGGGAAAACTGCAGATACATTGAACCGGTTGACAGTTCAAGCTTCAACATATGCTCGAATCAAGCACGTGCTAGCCAGCTGTGATGGGCCATTTGGAATAGGGACTGCTCCTTTCATTTTCAGGAGCGATCCTTTCAGCCATCAGGCTTCGGGATGGCAGGCTTTTGGCTTCTGTGTGCCAGATTGGAAGGAACAGCCAGGCAGGGATCTCTTCCTTGCAGTGACAGATTGCAGTGGTGTTCGATATTGGGAATCTCGAGAGCAAAGAAAGTAATGGTTCCTTGCAGGTGACTCTTACTTTTCCAGCCACCTTTTACCTTCCCTGCTTGTCTCAGGCTCTCCATGCAGCATCTGAACCCCTGCCTTCTTAGGCTTATTTGCATGAGCATATTAGGAGTTATTCTGGAGCAGTATTGCATTTGGACTAATTAAACAAAGGGCATGCCATCCAAAATTAATAACATAGGGATGAGTAATAATAAAAGCAAGCTCAAGTCTGTAAAATTACTTTAACTCTTTTACGACATCAGTATGACTAGAAAGCTGATCTCCATGGCTGGTGTAGCACAAGGACATCAAGTGGCAGGTTGATGTGCAAATGATACACAGAGTTTGAGGAAGCAGGGTAAATACCGCTTTGCTGACACCTTGATGCGATGGTCCATTCCTAGGGCTATCATGTGGGAGAGCTAGGACCACAAGTAACTAGAGATTTGAGGGTGTAGATCTGAAATTATTTCTGTTACACACATACAAGAAATTTCTGGGGAGCATTGAGGTTCATTTTTATATAACTAGAAACTTAATATTGGCATATATCTCGGAGGCAGAAACTAGGTTTCTCTTCTAAGCACCATTCAAATTAAGGAGAGAGAGCAAGCAAGAAAAAATTAAATAAGAATGATGGTTCTTTAGACCCATAAATAAAACCACACTATGTGTTACTTCACTTTCTTAATTTCTTTCATAGTGGTTTATACCAGAGTCCTGGCATTCCTTGCTTGTGCTACTTCTGGCATTTTTCAGAGCAAATCCTATAGAGAGCACAAGTAAATAACACATAGACATGTGTAGGTGACAATGCCAGCCAGATAGTACATGCAAGTCATTACATCTGAATTGGATACACAAGCAAGGGAACACACAAATGGATTGCCAGGATGAGATACCTTTCAAAAAGAACAAACGGAACTTCACACTTCAGTTTGCACATTCTGGTTTGGAGTGGTTTGAAGATAACCTGCTTTTCTAGCCTTTCCCCTTAAAATTTAGCCTTTCTCCTTGAAGGTTTGCTCTAGTACCCTCAGTCTTTTTCATTAATTTAGCAGCAGGGGAGAGCTCTGCACTGGCCCAAGAACCCTAAGAATACAGAAGAAAGTTGTGTGCTGTTTGTTTTAAAAGGAAAAGAGCAAGTCAGCTTACGTCGGCAGAGGCCTTGTTACTTCATATGCAAAAAGAAATGCACTCGAAGCAGCTGTTATTAGCTGTTCTTCAACCACGCTCCCAACTTCCAAATAAAGTTTAGGAACTCATTGTATTATGGGGAGGTTTTCTTGAAGGATTTTGGAGGAAATGAGCTCTTCTGTGCAAAAGCTGTTACACATAATAAACTTTAGAATGCCAGTGAATAGATATGAGACAGTTAAACAACAGAATAAATCTTCTCAGTTTTATGAATGCTTAGTTTCTGCCTGCTTTCTCTGAAGAATAACATGCCAGGACAAATCCTGAAATCTGTCTCCCTTGAGTCCCCTATAGACAAAATACTAATGGAAGTTAATGGGAACATGACTCAGGGGAAAACTTAAAATCTGGGAATTGTAGCACATGCCCTTTAAAACACTAAACAAGAGGAGTTTCAGACAGGGCAATAGGAACTTTTCAGAGACTTCTATATCCCACTTAGAGCAGTGATTTCTGATAGTTGAGCACTTGAGTGTCACAGAAAGAAACAGAAACGTAGCTCATGGAACATCTTAGTGCCAGTAGCACAATGAAATACTGTGTTTAATCTCCCAACTTATTTTAGAAGCTGTAGAAATGTTTTATTTAGCCCTTACTGAAGAAATGTAAATGTTTGGGTTTGTCTCCTCAATACATAAGGAACAAAAAAAAGGTGGCTAAAAATGTTCTCCCACCTTCTCTACTTTTGAGCATGTCTGTGTGATGCCACTAATTAAAAGTTAAAGATGTAAGACTTAAGGAAAATTTGAGTTTGTAAGAAACAATCTTTATGCAGTTTTCTGGCCCCTTGTTCCAAATGACTGCCCTTTTGAAATTCTGACCTCAAAATCCATAAGAAATAAAAGGAAAAAAGTTATATTTGTTACTTCTACTTCAGACTCAGACAATTCTTGAGTGGCAGACACAAAAGTTTTTGGTTTGTTTGAAAAAGAAAGCAATGTACAATACACCTGAATTTTTGGATTAAAAGTATATTTCTGTTTATCAGGATACGTGGATGTCTCAGAATGGATTGTACCAGGTTGGAAAGGCTCAACTAATTTTAATTATATTGAGTAAAGCAGTTGCCTCAAAGAATTTTTTTTCCAAGCTTTCAGGAACTTCAGCATATCTCAGATCTTCTGAAGTTTATTGAAAAGTAGGATTTTAGATGACTCTTTCCACCTGGCATTTTATAGTGTTGTATTGCTGGTACTCAGAGATCTTCCACTATGACAAGCAACTAGTGTCAGGAAGAGTTTCTCTCTCTAATGAAGATTATTTTTTCTTCCTTTTTTCCTACTTTCCCTTTCCTGTCAGTCGGAAGTGTCTTGGATCCCCAACAAACACTACTCTGGGATTTACGGGCTGATGAAGTTGGTTCTGACTAAGACTCTACCTTCCAATCTTGAGCGAGTCATTGTCCTCGATACAGACATAACATTTGCCACTGACATTGCTGAGCTATGGGCCGTCTTTCACAAGTTCAAAGGTATTCTGATGATTTTTTTACTGTCTTCATTTGTGGGGGAGGGAGAACGGTAAAGCAAACAGTACAACGGGGGTAAAAGGGCTATCTGAGATTTGTTAAATGTTTTCGCTCTTTCAGTCTTTGGTGTTTGAATATAATTGTTCTGTTTGTGAGCTTTTCCCTCAACAATGTTCTGTATAGAAAGATTGACAGCACTGACTATCTATGTAGTTCGTTTTATTGCTCTAATTATTTGGGACAGGTGAGAGCTTGACAATACAGTAGATGATAAAGAATTATGAGGATGCTGTAGTGACCTACCGTTCAAGCACCTGTTGGTATTCAATACTTGGAAGAACTTGTTTTGTATTACGTTATGTTAATGAAACCTAATTACTACTTTCAGTATAGCTTTTCCATGTCACCACTGAAAAGGAATGAAGTTAGGATCATACTTGGACCAGGGAGATGGGTGAAGGGGACAGATTTATACGTGTGAATAGAAACGAGTTACTGCTTGCTTCTCTTAGTGAGTTGATAAAGGTTCTGGATTTGAAGTATCCACCTAAAGTAGTTTTCTTTGCCCTATATCTATATAGCTCCTTGAAAAACTCCTTGAAAGCCTGAGCAAGAAAGGACGCTTTCAGAGCAACTCTGTAAAGAGATGATCACAAAAAAGTTCCCCATTTCCCTGTCACAAACCAGAGCACTTTCCTAGCTAACATACTGCTAAAACCATTTAATTCTCCCAGGCTCCAGTGTTGCCAGCGTTTCAGAGTCAGAGATGTGCCCTGTTGCTCTCCTCCTGCCCTCAGAATATGTACTGGGGTGCTGGTAAGTGCAGAGGCGTTCCAGTATCCTGGTTGGAAGATTTATAGCCCTGTAAAAGTGTAGCTTGATGCGTATCATCAGCTCTCTTAAAATCACCTCAAGCAAAGTCAGCCTAAGAAAACAGGACTATTTATTTACAGAAGCCAAAGTAAACCACTCTGTTAGAAAGGTAACAGAAAAAAGAGCACATTTACTGTACTTCTCCCATGCTGAAATCCAAGGCCTCTTTGCCTTTCCCAGTACCCAGCTAACGGGCAGGAGTTAGTATCTTCAGCTCTACAGTCTAGGACTGGGCTCTAGTCCTTGCTTCTCCGTGCATTTGTTTCCTTTCCCTTCTCTGGATACACTGATGTCCCTTCAGCAGGCCAGAAGTGGTCACCTTCTTACCTAACTGAACTAGTCACAAATTTGCTTCATGAAGGAATATAAAGTTTTTCCTCCTCTTCAGCCTTGAGTTTCATATAAACATATAACTTGACAACCATAATTATGTAAATGTATGCATAGGGAGTAATGCTGGGCTATTGTACTGTCTCACTGTGTGCTACTGTCCCATTAATAGTAATATTTTACTGAATTTGGTGTATTAGCATGATGTAGCAGGTAAAGAAATGCATATAAACTGAACTTGGGGATAGAGCACTGTATGGTCAAAGATAGCAAAATCGGAATTGAGACAATGAAGGGGATCATCTCCTTCCGTATATTTTCTGCTGTAGTTTCAATGAAGGTCCCTTGCTTTTTACTGGGGAAAGAAACCAATCATAAAGACTTCTTGTAAAGAAAGGAATGTGGAGCAGCAGCAAGCCTAAGAGTGAAAAAAATACAGACAGATATGGAAACATGGAGAAGGATAATTACTGGAAGTAAAAAAGTGGGTGTAATTCAGTCCCCATAGAGCTAGGCAAGGTTGTTCAGCTGATTAGAGCTGTGAAAAGCTCTGACTTACACATGGAGACAGAATTCCTCTGCTACTGCCAGCCCTCATAAACATAAGTATCACAACTCCCAAATGTATGATTTTGTAAGTTGTCCGGCCTGTCTTTTTAATTCCAGCTGACCACCTTCTTCTCTACAATTTTTTAATCATGGCAATTGCCCAGAGAGGTAGTGAAGGCCCCATCCCTGGAAACATTCGAGACCAGGTTGGATGGGGCTCTGAGCAACCTGATCTAGTTACCAGTGTCCCTGCTCACTGCAGGGGGGTTGGACTAGATGACCTCTAAAGGTCCCTTCCAACCCAAAATATTCTATGATTCTAATAAACTGGTCGGTGTCTACATCTGCTCATCTCCCAGATGGTCATGCACAAAGAAAGAATTAATGGGACAGTCCCATAGTCCCAGGAGTTTACCAGGGTGGGAGAGGACTTTGGAAGGCACGTATGCCCAAAACAGTGATGCTGAATGTTGGGGAGGAGAGAGAAATGGAAGTGTCTGAGTGCGAGCTTGTGCTCCAGCCTCTATCATAGGGTGCAGTCCCATTAGGCAAAGACTTAATGGACATGGATCATCCTGGAAAGCAAGGGCGAAAAGGTTGGAGAGATACTGTTGCTCTTTTACTGCTTTGTAAAAGATTGGTTTAAAACATATGGTGGTTCTCAAATTGTCCTCAGTGTCTTTTTATTTCTCCTGCTAGCATTACAAAAGATTGAAAGGATGTCTCATGTCATTAGACCCAAATATTCCTCTAAAGTATCTGGTTTTAAACAAATGTTTTAATCCCCTCCTTGTATCTCCCTCAGAAGTCCCAAGCAAGTTTACGAGGATTTCCTTGGGACAATCTAGTGTGTCTGTTAAAATATTACTAAAACAGAAGAGAAATAAAGCTCCTACGAAGAGAAGTTCTGCTCTCCAAAGGAACCTGACATGATACCCACAGGCTCTCCTTCTAGAAACATTCAAACACCCAATTGTTGGCTAAAAGTAGCCATTTTAACCTGCTTGCACCAGGATGTTGTTTGAGCAAATGGAAGAATCTTTCACATCAGTGCAGGAAAGGCAAGAGCTTCCTTCTGCAGGTTGCTGCAGGGTAACCAATAAGACAGTCCAGCACAGCCTCTTCCAATTTACAGCCACACAGATAAAGAGAAAGAAGGTCCTAGAGTCTGCAATTCTTTCTGTGCCCTGGAAGTCTTCCCAACAAAAATAGTGACAAAGAGAGGCCAGTAGCTCAGATTCCTTGTTTCTAGGACACCACGCTCGGAAGAAACTCAGATTCGGGATTGTCTTGCAATTTAACCAGGTCCAATTTGCTGTCTGGGAAGACCCACAGTACATTTTAAATAGCACCTGCAATACCCAGTATCCTTGTTCTGCAAAGGCTTTTCTTCCTGTCATCTTAAGAGTTGCTGAAAAGATCAGACCCTTACATAGTAACTTAATATTTTAGGTGGTAAAGCTACTATTACATTCGCTCTGTAGATGGAAAAAAGGGAGTAGGATTCCTTTGTAAATTAATGCTCTTCTGCCCTTTTCTGATAAGCTCTTTGCATACGCCCTTACAATAAATGATCCAACTATTCTGTAACTGAGTGCACAAATTAGGGCTGTACATACGTGATTTTTTTTGAAAATCTCTTCTTTGAAGTGGCAACCTTAGGCTTTGGGAGAAATTCACACCTCTGTTCAGTAGCCTGAAACAGTATCTCTCAAGCGATGTAACATTTAAAAATTTCTCTTAGCAGTTACAGTGGGTTGTATAATTATTATTCCTTTTATATGCAAGCTTCGATCTCTGTGCATAAATATGTCTTTGGGAACCTGTAACTTAATACTGAAGAGTGAGATCCTGCTTTTCAGCTGGGATTTGGACATTTCTGCTTCAGCCTCATTCTCTCGTGCTCTCCCAAAGATAAGCAGTCTGTTTCTCTGGGACAGACGCATACCTCCAAAATACTGACTTCAAAGGTGTGAGTCTGCAGCCAGTCTGGTGAAGATAACCTGTCATGTATGTTTTCTATGACTTAGTTGACACTGATTATGTTTTCTATTCATCTTTTGCTGGATTTAGACAGGTCTAAACTTGAGAAAGCATCTAGCCCGAGGGCAGAAGAGTGGGACTGTAGATCATATGCATTCTTGGATGAAGTGCTGCAAAGTGTTTCAGACAGCAAGGATTAGTGTAACCAATATGCTTTTATTTCAGAAATTGTGTGAATTCTTCTGAGAAAAGAACCAGTCCAAAGCTATGCTCTCTGCCATCAATCTTAATGTTCTTTTAAAGGCCACATCAGCTAATTGTTTTTATTATTCTTGCTCACCCAAACTCTTGAAATGTGGGTTCTTTTTACCAAACTTCTGATTTTTACTTTAACTGTCTGTTAAATATGGATTCTCAAGAGCATTCATTGTAAATGGTATTGTAAGTTTATTTGGGACCTGACAGTAACAGTCATAATTAGCTGTGTTACAGGTTGCAGTTCCCATCAGGATCACAGACTCTTTGTGCTGGGTGTTGTACGTATAAATAGCAAGAGACCGTCTTTGTGCTTCACCCAGTGTCAGGTGACAATTCTCCTGTCTGCCTGGTTCCTTTAGGCCATTGCTATGTGTAAGTCACAGCTGAGATCCGCAAATGAGACCTGAATGATCCCTGAAGAGCTCAGTGTTGAGGGCGTTAAGTTGAATGCCAGATCTAAGGGCATTATGGTATTTCTAAGTACATGTCGTAACTCAGAGGCTGTATTGAACAGCAATGTCCTACTACTACGTGTTAGTCTCACAATCCAGCTAGTTTATATGATGAACGTTGTAAGTACTTTTAAACAATACGGACTGGATAGTACATAACTAGTGTATTTCAGATAACTCTACTTGTAGATTAAGTCATCCAGAGAATATAAACTGCAATTAGTGTTCATCTGTGCAAGTGGCAAGCTTGGTAGGAGGACTGAGATTCCCATATTCATACTTTGCATCAATAAAAACACGCTATAGAAGCTGTTTGCTTTGTGTCAGGAGCTCAAACAATGATAAAAATCTATACTGACATCATAAATACCAGAAAAGGTCAACAGCGATTTTGGTGCAGGATCAAGTGCCCACAGCTGAAGAGGGATTGGCACATAGTCAATCCCATACTTAAAATTTGCAAACACTTAGTTTGTGGGTGCTTTGGCATATAGCTCTGCAGAATGCCTGAGGTAACAATCTAGGTTCATGCTATTTTTGCAGCCTCTTCAGGAAAAA